AAAAGTCACGTTTAGTTTGAACTCGGCGCTGATACGTGGTGGCAAGAGGAGTCCATGGTAATTAATTAAAATAATAATATGTTCAATAGACTTAACGGGCTCTCCTACCTGCAAAGCGGTGTGGATATCGACGCAGCCGCAACTCTGGTTCGCGAGATCGAACCACTCGCCACCGCCACTCACAGAAGGGGTGTTTTGGGCAGACTTGGTTGCTTTAGCGGCCTTTTCCATCTCTCCGCCATGGATCCTACGTTGAAGGACCCTGTTTTGGTACAGGGTACTGACGGTGTTGGGACTAAACTTAAGGTAATAAGCTGGGAGTCACACAGTTAGCCCTTATGATGGACAATTAAATAAATAATAATAATAACGCAACGCACTCAGGAAACCCTGTATCGCGGGTGCCATGGACACACACACGTAGACAACCACAAATTACACCCAAACTCACGAGAGATATGTAGGTCATACAAATAGTTCTACCATTCGGCCACGGAGACAGTTTACTAATTAATTACTTATCTGTCTAGTACTTAAGTTTTCGCGATTGTTACACTCCGTCACCTGCGTCCATGGAACCAGTAACAGGTCTGAAATGTTGGTTTATTTGAAAAAACACTGCCACCTTACCTATTTCTGTCGCCAAGGAGTAATGTCAGCATTACTGCGTTCCGGTTTTGAAGGGCTGCTGGTGAAATTACAGGCACGTGGGACTTGTCAACTTATGTCTCAGGGTGACGGGCGCGGTGGCAGTGGCCCTCGGATCTGCGATTTAAAGCTCTGTGCTCCAACTGTTATGGACAGGCATGTAGCTTACCATCAGGCGTACGATTTGTTCGTCCCGTCACTTGATATTTAAAAAATAAACGCGAGACTTATCTGGTTACAGTGAATCCATAATACTGTTTTAAGAAGCAGCAAACTTTTTGCTGATCATGTGTCCATAATCCGTATTTCCAGATAGCGGAGGTGATGCGTAAATACGACACCATAGGCCAGGACCTGGTGGCGATGTGCGTGAACGACATCCTGTGCGCGGGCGCAGAGCCCTTCGCCTTCCTCGACTACATGGCCTGCGGGAGGCTACAAGTCGACGTGGCAACTAGCATTGTTAAGGGGGTTGCTGATGCTTGCATCGAGTCCGGCTGTGCTCTGTTAGGTAAGTTTCTGTTATCTCGTACTCTTTACGTTTTAATCTGATGTGAATAAGAATACATTTATTGCATAACTATAGGTTACATAAGATCTTAAAATATTACAATGGTTTGTGCTCTATAGTTTACCAGAGAAGGTGTACAATATTATGAAATGTCACAGATTAAAATTAAATTGCATTACAACATGAAAGAAAAAAACAATTATTAATAAACATCGCTAGTCACCAAATTTGTTATTGTCGTCAAAAAACTCTTGTATGCTATAATGAAGTTTAGTACGCAACCATTTACCCATAGCATTTTTAAGTTTTACGTACTCGAATTTTTTAAATTCATTCGGTATGCTTTTGTGGTTTACAGAGTTGAAATATATATGTTATATATATATTTCACTCCTTCACTGTTCATGCGGTCAGACTTTGGAATGCACTTCCTATTACTGTTCACGAAAGTAAATCGTTAGCTATTTTTAAAGTGAAAGTTAAAGAGCATTATTTATCTACTATTCCATCCATATCTTAGGTATTATATTATAAAATATGTATTTATATAAGTATTTATATAATTTATAACAATTTAATATTTTTATATTATTTTTTTTCTTGTTTTGTTGTGCACATATGTTCTTTTAGTTATAGTATCCTGTATTTAGGTCTGCCGGAAGAAATTTCTATTAGAAATAAGCAGAACCTTTTGTTATTAATTTCGCTTGTATTCTTTGTGACTTGTTGTATTTTTCCTGTACAATAAAGTATTAAATAAATAAATAAATATTTGTTTGACGTATCGTGTCGTGATGCGCTCTGACGCGATGGTTAGCGTTTACATCTATGTCACGTGTTCTGACGCCTTCTGACATTATTTTGGAACAATACCGTCGTGGCTGTTGGAAAGTTCACTCGTTCCCAATATCTGACTGGCGTGTGCACACTTGTCTGATCTTTCATGATGCGGCCGCTCCGCCGTCCCAAACCTGTACTGACTTAGATCGGGATCGCTTCGGATGCGACACAACACAAACCATCACAACCCATTGCGACATATGAATCTCACTGTGTTAAATCGTCACCGTTCTGACGTGTCACAACACGACACATCACACAAATATAAATCCACCTTTACGGTTATTTGATAAACCTGGTCACTAGAAATAGCCGGACTGTATTAATAATGCCCGCATCAAATTGACAATATAATAAAAACTGCATGATTAATCACTTTTCCCGGTGAGTATGAATAGTGACAACCCTGTCTTGGCCAGGCAGTATGAATAATTCCCTGCTGAACCCTATGGAATTATTCATTCTGCCCGATCCAAGTGATAAATTCACGCCACTTAAGACTCGATTTTTCAAATGAAACACGGGCTTTATTAATAATAATAACACACACACACTCAACATAGCCCCGCACTAGGGAAACCCTGTGTTGCGGGTGCCATGGACGAACACATAGACAACCAGAAATTACACCCACATTCATGACATTAAAAACTCACGAGAGAAATAAATGTTAAATACGAACCAGCCGAACTAATATATATATATTGACCGATGCTCTTGGTTATTATCCATAATTGAGACTTATTGGCACATATTTCGATTTCATAATTTCATCAAAGATAACCTTTTTATTTGCTCTTGCGCACCCGACAATCACTTGTTTTGACAAACTCGTGCAATAACCGTCAGTTTAGCATTAACTCAGTATGTTTAAACTTTATTTAAATTACTATTTAACATTGTGTTACATTACAATGTCTTTAACAGGAGGAGAAACAGCAGAAATGCCGTCCATGTATGACGTAGGCAAGTATGACCTAGCAGGGTTTGCTGTCGGTGTTGTGGACAACCTGAAACAATTGCCTCGTATGAAAGAGATCAGAGCTGGTGACGTTGTGTTGGCACTACCGTCGACTGGCGTACATAGTAATGGATATAGTTTGGTACAGAAGATTATGTTACAGAGTGGGCATAAGTAAGTTAATAACATCTTATAGATAGATAGAAAATTATTTATTGTTAGCACTATATAAATAGAGAGATTACATGACAAAAATTAGCAGGGTAACAATTGGCGGGCTTATCGCTTACAGCGACTTCTTCCAGACAACCTTAGTTGTATTTTTTTTAGATGTGATTATGATTTTACACCACCAAATCCTTATTTACCTTATTAACTTCAAAAGTTTATGGAATTACGTCTATTTACAAAGTTTTATTGAAAACGGTTAACTGAAAGGGATTGAAATCCAATAAACTTGATTTATCCCCTACCCTTGGCGGTGGAATATTTTCTTCAAATTTAAATGAGACCAAAACTGATTACCCTCTTTCCAACAAAAAAGAATCAACAAAATCGGTTCACAAATGTCATTAGGAATAGCGTAACTTACACACAAAAAAATACTGGCAACGCATAGGCAGCTCATTTGATGTTGCAAATGTCCATGGGCGACGATGACCACCTCCCATCAAGTGGCTCGTTTGCCTCCTTCTTTACATAAAAAACACAATCGAATTGACAACCTCCTCCGTTTTTTAAAGTCAGTTAAAAACAGGATTAATTTATATTTACATTATAGTATTGTACTTCTTAATGCCATTTTGCCAGTGATTCCTCGCGTTTTTTGCGCTAAGTATGTACTGGTCCCGCAGAGACCTAAGATGATATTATCTCCAGTAACTGTACATTTGTACCTTTCATATCTATGAGTAAGTTAATTGTAGGTTCTTAAGGATAAAGGATATTTATACAAATATTAACATTAAAATTACAGTAACATGTTGGTGCGTTATTTGCTACATAAATATTCAATTGAAAAAATAAAAAATATGTATAGAAGTTGATTTGGAAAAATGCAAAAATTATAAAAATACCTATAAAAAATATTACATACATTAATTTATGTTGTCAATTTTTATTTGAAATATTTATTTTGTGTCTTTCGATTTTAAAATATTTCTAGAACCTATTTTTTTTTATGCGTTATATTTTGAGTTTCTTAACTCTTTGTTGTCTTTTTAAGCTTTATTGCTAATTTAAAAAAAATAAATAATAAGTCCAAAAGAAAAAAGAAAAAAAAAATTACGGCTTTGGGCGCTTTCCACTACAGCTATAAAAAAGTATTATCTGTCTTAACAACTATTTTTAGTTATTTAAAACTTAATTTTCTTTTTCACAAGGTACCATGAACGGGCACCATTCACTGAAACAGACAAATCGTACGGCGAAGAGTTCCTCACCCCCACCGGCCTGTATGTCAATGCACTCCTCCCCGCAGTAAAGCGGGGAATCATCAAGGGGCTAGCCCATATAACTGGAGGGGGACTACTTGAAAACATACCCAGGATTCTGCCCCAGGGGGTTAGGGTCAAATTGGACGCTAAAAAATTTACAATCAAACCTATTTTCGGATGGTTGCAGGCTAAAGGTGAATACTTCATACTTTAAATATCATTATGAACCCTTTGTACGTGCCACTACTGGGCACAGTTCTTTACCACACGGGTCCAGTACAGGTTGGAAACTTCACACGCTTTCCCAAGGGTTGGAAACTTTTTCATTTCTTTCATCAAGATCTTTTGCTTCACCATTAGCGAATGGCATTGCTGCTAAACTTTAAAAAGGCATGTATTTGAACATTGACTTACAATTATATGGACGTCGGGTCCGCGCTAAAAAGTGTCCGAACTTATAGGGCGTTAAAATCGTCTTTCGTCTTCGTTTGTTCGACTGACAGCGAAGCAAGCAAAATTAGACAGTACTGCGATGACATTACAATTTAAATTCAACGTTTTAGCTTTTTCAAATTTCTTTACATGTCACTACGTTTAAATAGGTTGACTTGGGACATTTTTTTTGTATTAGACCCGTCGTCCATTTATTTGTAAGTCAATGTATTTGAACGATGCTTTTAAATTTGCAAAAGCAGCAGGCAAAAAAATCGAAACGGTCATCTTTTTTAAAGATTGATCCTTTTTCTCTAAGAGCTAAATTAAATCAATGTGTATTTTAATCTGTTTTGAGCGAATGTTTAACTTCTATAAATTAACTTTGATAGTTTCTTATTGACCCTCCAACCTAAGACAAACGAGCATTAAAAAACGTGAAACCATGTTCCGAAACGCAAGCAAATTGGCTTCTGGCACTCGCCGGCCGCTGTCGCGGCACGCTCGCTCGGCTCGTGCTGCATTTTCATATGCTAATGTACTGAATGGAGGGCGCAAACAAGATTTGATCTATATGACAAAAGAGGTTGAAAAAACCAAAACAATTAGTAGTTTAATAGCAGTCGAGCTCCTTGTGAAAGTTTGTACATGGAAGTACTGGCACCTTTCCTATTTCTGCCGCCAAGTAATGTTGTGAGCATTACGGCGTTCCCGTTTTGATGGGTGGCACTTTTGAACTTACTCTCAGGGTGACGGGCGCAGTGGCAGTGCCCCTGAGATCTTTGAGATTTAAAGCTCTTAGTGGCACTGCAACTGCCATGGACAGACTTATTCGTCCCGGCACTTAACATCACAAAAAAATTGTTTAGTTTCCCATATTTAAACTGTTTTAAACATTTTCCCTTTAGTCTATTATTAATAATTAATTAGTCTTAAATTGTTTTTAATTTTTAAGGGATTTCTGGGTAATTTTCAGATAAGTTTTTTTTGTACTAAATTATGGTGACATTTTCTTTTTATTTCAATGTTTATAGAATATCGTCATGAAGTATTATTTAATATTCGAGTGGTAACCTGAAATATTCTTTAATATTTCACGATGATATATTCGAGTAATTAAGTAATAAACATTGTCACCAAAATTGAGTACAAAAAGCTTACCTGAAAATTACTGTTCTAATTTTTTAATACTGTATACATGCACATATACCGATGTCTTACTATCTATTGTTTATAAATAATGTTCATCTGTTTTCCGGAATCGTGTACCACTCACCAATTTTCAAAAAAATATTTAGACATTTCTGACCTTGACATGTGTCCCAATATAGTTATACTATTTTGTTTTACAGGAATGGTATCGGACTTCGAAATGCTTCGCACATTCAACTGCGGTGTGGGCATGGTGGTGATCGTGGACCCCGTTTGCGTTAATGAGGTGGTGCGTCTCGTTGAAGGACCCATTGCTGTTGTTGGCTCCGTCGAGTCTATGGGGAAGGAAGGTGAGATTTTACAGCATATATTTTGTGGCAAATCGAGAGATCCTATTGTCCTAATTAAATATTGTCATATCACATTTTGCCATAAATCTAATAGTTTAGTAGGAAAAAAATAAAATGTGTATTTTTCGTATGGGACCATACCTTTAGTGCCCCATCGTTACAAAATCTTAGTCGATCCAGTCTTGGAATCATTAAAGACGTATTATTAGACCTATCTACTGTAGATTTGCATACTAAACGCGCCCAAACTTGCCTATTCACTACTTATACGCGTCAGAATATTAAAAAAAACCATTTTCTTATACATCAACAGGAGGCCACCAAGTGGTAGTAGACAACTTTAAAGAAGCAATTGCGCCCTTAGCGGCACCGTATCTCGCAGCCAGTCAATCAACCCCGCGGAAATCGCTGTCCTACAAGGATAGTGGCGTCGACATTGAAGCTGGAGACTCCCTGGTTTCTCTGATCAAACCTTTGGCCAGGTAAGTACTGGCTCTAGAGTTATTTTAGGAGCTTGGAATGGTGAAAAGCCTTTAAGAGGGAGCAGAGGAAAAATTCCTAATCTTCGATTTGATTTTATAGGGGTTTATCCATTTTAAAGTTAAAAATAAAATATTGTATGAGTAACTACACGATATATTCAAGCATACACACTAATCAGAAACATAAAACAATAAAGTTTCCTCGATAGATAAAAATCACGAAATGACCTCTAATTTTCACATTTTTTCGATTCATCCTCGAAATGCTACAGGTTATTAGGACAAAAATTAGATAGTTAATTATATTTATGCATGATCGAGAATTGTACGGATTTTTTTTTAATCCCTTTAGTTTTAGTATTATTCCGCAAAAACGAATTTGGTACTTTTAATGCGCAAAATTCAACATCTCCTGTCGCATGTCACGCGAACTTCAGGCATATATTTGTCTCACAAATGTGGGCGGAGCCAACGTCAAAACTTTTTTGGCATGCTCCCTCTTAATAATTGCGACTTTTTGAAAATATTTTTAAGATGACATTTATGATATTTTAATAATGTACTCGACATCCTCAATACTTACTAGTTCTTAAATTTGGAAATTCCCTAAAAGTTCTTTACCCAAATTTGTTCGACTGGAAATCTATAGTCTGTCTTTTTTTAAGATGGAGTAAAATTACAGTTTATTGTGCAAATATGTTGCCCACTTACAAGCAGCTAGTGACTGCAGTCTATAAATATTCTAACGACTATCGACTAAATGTTGGTTATGCAATAAATAGCCGACTTTGTTTCATTTGAATCTACATCGGCCCATTATACGTCCAACTGTTGGTCACAGGTTCATTTGAATTGTCAATCTTTGTAAGTTCATACATACATACATTGCATTTAGAACTATGTCTATTAAAAATACAAAGAGGAGATATATTTTGAAGTTTTATCATTTTGTTTCAATAAAAGTAATCAAATCTTCCTGTTCTCGTTAAAATGTATATTAATAAAAATTGATTTCGATACTAGTAGGCCAACTGTCAAAATAAGAATGAAGAAGGCAATAACGCAATTAGAAATCATTAGAACGGCGTCGTAACATTCACAATTCAGACATTTTTCTTTCACAATCTATCGATAAATCTGTCGAGAACAACTACATCACTATTTGAAATTTTATAAATACGTGCAACCCTGCAAAAAAAACAGACTATAAAGGCTAGGCCACTGAGATCATCGTCAGGATGTGGTCCATGATGGAGCACGCTAGCCTAGAAACTATTCATTTTCGCCTTTAAAAGGTCTAAATAATCTTTTTCGGATAAAAGGGAATTCTACATCCTAGCTATCCGCATCAGGAAAGAAGAAGTAAAACGCTTCATGTGTATGGGTGGTATATTGACAACTTAAGGGTGAGGTGCCTGCCCACGTCAGAGTCCCCGGAAAAAGGTTGATAGTAATACTTTATTTCAGTTCGTAGAGCATAAATTATTATTTTCATCACACTTGCACGTAAAATAGTGTGATTGCGTGCAGGCTAACTTGACTGTAGTGCCCCAAATAAAACCCTCGGGAATTACGAACCTCGTCTTCGAAAGCATAATAGAGTCTAATACGGTCTCGTTCGTAATCCCTTATTTCGACCCCTCCTACGTAAAGTATCGTATGTCGAAATTGCCAAGTTTACAGGGAAGCGTTTTGAAGTTCTTAATTCACTGCAATGAGCATAACACGTGACTTTAGCATTTCCCAGTTTTATTCGGCAAAGCTTGTTACTCGCATTGAGTATTGTTAAATCCTAGATATCGGTTAGATGATCTACTAGATGATAACTCTATGTCAGTAATGAGGTTTTGCCAAACAAAACGGTGAACTTTAAAACGCTCCCCTGTAAACTTGGCTATTTCGACATACGATACTTTACGTAGGAGGGGTCGATTTACCGTCCTTAAAACACAATTTACTGTTGTTACATGTCAAATTCTATGTAACCTGTCTGATCAATCTGTTATTACTCTTTCCAAGGCTTTTCAAAAAAAGAAACTATAAGGCGTCTCATAATTATAGTAATTGAACCTACATAATTTTTTTACACCCTGTTTATGACCTTGTTACAGGACTACTTCTCGTTCTGGTGTACTTGGAGGACTTGGAGGCTTTGGTGGTTGCTTCCAACTAAAAGCCGTTGAAAAGGAATACAAGGTATTACATAATATTTATATTATACTCCTAACGCCCTACTCCTGGACAGGGAGCCTCCGAGCAAAGAACTTACCCAACGGCCTTCGGCTTGAATTTCAATTAAATTCCTGATCTTCTGATATTGAAATATAGGGAATGGGTTTTTTAATTTAGATCCATCACGATTATTAATACTAAGATCGAACATATAGAAAAACATTTTCGACCCAATGGAACTAGAATCCATACTGCACCGTAGTATAGCTCTTGCGAACTGAGTTACGGGTAAAATTATCGAGTTGTCTAAATTCTCCTACACACATCAAAAAAAGTTTGCGATCACTTCGAAAAACTGAAATCTTTTTTGTTACTGTAGATTATATTATGATTTTTTCTTCTTTTTAGATTCTTTATTTAAAAATAAATTAGAACATAAAACAATGACCCCGTTCAATTGTTTTTTCATATAAAAAGGCTTTCAGTCCTAGCTTACGCTCATTCAGAAATCTGATTTAGTCAATTATAAGTGATTCAATATATTTTTCGTGGAAAGTTGTGATTGAAAAAATGCCAAAAGGATTATCAGAGGTTTTACGAGCTAGAATAGTAACTTTGAGGGAAGAAGGATACACCACGAGAGTAATAGCACGCAGACTTGCTATATCCCAATCCTGTGTCGTGGCTACGTTGCAGAGGTATCACGGAATGGGGAATTTAGCTGACCGACCCCGCAGCGGTCGCCCAACTGTCTTGACAGCTGCCCAAAAGCGCTATATTAGATTGCTGGCAGCCCGTGATCCAACAATCAACGCCACTAAAATAAAAGCAGAAGTCAGGGCCGCCTCTGGGCTTGAAGTTAGCACGCAGACCGTTCGCAATTGCTTGCACCAGGCTGGATTACGAGCACGGAGGTCTTGGCGAGCTCCGCTCAATTCCCGGCAACGTCAACAACGAAGATTGCAGTGGGCTAGATTTTGGCAAAATGAAGAAGGTGAGGACGAAAACATTTGGCAAAACTGTCTCTTCGTTGACGAATCCCGAATCAGCACTCATCCAGATAACCGACGTGTCCGTGTCTGGAGAAGACCAGGCGACCGTGAAAGACAAAGAACTGCTACTGGAACAGTTCAGCAAGGCGGAAAATCGGTGTCCTTTTGGGGTGGCATTATGATTGGAGCTAGAACGCCTTTGATCCCGTATCGGGGCTTCATGACAGCAGACATGTACAAAGCAGTTGCTATTGATGATATCGTCAGACCATTCCGAGTAAACCATGGGCACCAATTTGTACTGGTCGATGATAATGCGCCCGCACATCGAGCTCAACGAGTCAATGCTGCTCTTCAAGAATACGATATCACACGATTAGACTGGCCTGCCGGCTCGCCCGACTTAAACCCAATAGAGCACGCGTGGGATGCTCTTAAATGAGCAGTATGGAACCGTGAGCCACGTCCCCAGACAGTTCCAGAGCTCAGGGAAGCCGCTATTGAAGAATGGGATAGGTTACCCCAGGAAACGCTGGATAACTTGATCCTCAGCATGCCCAGGAGGATCTTCGCATGTATTCGAGCCAGGGGAGGAGTTATTTTATATTGAATTCACACCTTTTAATAATAAATTGTTGTTTAAGTTTAATTAAACAGTCTTTTTCTTTCTATGAAATTTCTATCACTATTACATTATGATTAATGGCTCAATTTTTTAAAATAAATAATAAAAAATAGTTTTATATTTTAATTTAAAACAGGGTATTCCTATTTAAAGAAAGCATACAACATAGATTTTTTCTTGATAAAGTTAAATTTAAAGAATTATAGGAGCTTATGCTATTGATCGCAAACTTTTTTTGATGTGTGTATGTGTTTTTGTTAAAGAACTTTGTACTCGATTTATCGGCATTCTGAACTGATAGTGACATCTAATGAGAGATTTTAGAACATTCTACACCGCAGCCAGCACCTTTGCAGATGCTTCAACGTAGTATAGCCATAATAACTAGTGGAGTAATTTCACTTTTAATTTGAAGAAAAAGCTCATTACCGATCATTGCTGTGCTAAAAAGAAGAAAAGCCCGGGTGTTTTATTTGGGGCACTGAAGTTAAGTTGGCTAGCGTGCAATCGCACTATTTACATGCAAGTGTAATGATAAAGGTCTTTTAGTCGACGATCAAACGTTTCATCATTAGGCTCGTTTTTTAAGTCAACGGGTAGGTGCTCGTGATAAGTAACACTATTTTTTTTATAATATCAAGCTAAAAAAGAACTAAAGCTAAGCGTCGCGGTACGACCTTCAAGTGTCCTATAGAGCAAGTGTTATAACCGCTTTCATACTTTCCGAAGCTGTGTAAGTTTTTTCGTATGAATGTGCCATGTGTATGAAAGGTCTCCTTTATATTTTGTTGTTTTTATTTCCAGGATCCAGTCCTGGTACTGGCAGCGGACGGTGTAGGCACAAAACTAAAAATCGCTCAAACAATCAACAACCACGACACCATAGGCATTGATTTAGTCGCTATGTGCGTAAATGATATACTATGCAATGGCGCTGCACCACTCACGTTCCTGGATTATTTCGCGTGCGGCTCATTGGATGTCCACGTAGCGAGAGCCGTTGTGTCTGGCGTAGCAGAGGGCTGTAGACAAGCTTCGGCTGCTCTGATTGGTGAGTCACACTGTTTGTGCTATGCAGCGTAGATGTATTGGCCAATCACATTCCGGTATCATGACGTGTGTTATTTGATTTTTAGCTAAAACAATTACAGTTGTTATTATTTCATTTGAAAAGGGTTTTGATGGACTTTTTGTTAATATTCAAATAATATTATGAGTTTTTAATTAATTTTAAGTTATTCACCTCTTGTTTAAGACTCTGGGTAACAACAACATACTCGCATATATACATATTTTTAAATTTTGGAAGATAATAAGGATAAAAAAATTCGCAATCAACAAATACTTAATAAATTAGTGAATAGAATAGAAAACATTTATTGCAACGTCAAACAATAAAGTATTAAGAATACGTAAAACAAGAACCAGAAAAAAAAACAAGCTTTGTTTGTCACAAGCGAAAGCTCTTTATTGACCGAACTAAAAATATTTTGAAAGTTTTGCTATCTTAAATACAGTATGTCGTCGTCGTTGTTGGATTGGTTCCAATCCAACAAGGGTTATGTCGTAGAAAGAGATCAAAAAATCTATGCAACAACAACATAACGTCTTCTATATTATTTAATGCAGCATTAAATCGAATTGACGTTTGTGCAATAACGAGTAATTATATGCAGGGGGCGAAACAGCGGAAATGCCGGGCATGTACGAGCCGGGTGTGTACGACATCGCTGGATTCGCTCTGGGAGTGGTGGAGAGGACGCACATTTTGCCCAAATTCAATGACATTACTGTATGTATTGTACAATAGTCACACATTCACATAACACGGCAATGCATGCAAGCACGTACAAACACACACCCATACATACATACATACGTTCGTGCACACGCTCGTATCATATGCACAAAAACAAATTTGGCGACCTCTGTGACCCAGCGGTGACAATTGAGGGCGCTAGATGAGGAGGTCCCAGGTTCGACTCCTGTGAGGACAATTTGGTAAACGATCTATTTTTCTCGTTAATGGCGACCACTTCGACTCCAAGATGAGTAATGTGCTTTTTACGTTGCTCTTCAAACTAGTGGACTTGCCTCGAAACAATCCATATTAGGCATATTATTATTTTAAAAAATAGTCTAGTATGCCCGTGCAAAAAAAACCTTCTCCGCTCTCTGCGAGCATTTTTTATAAAACTCACTCATTTGCAATTGAAAAAGTAACTACAGTCACCGAACGATGGCGCTACTGTCGCGTAATCAGCCGTGTTCACAGATGGCGCCACGTCTCGGTCAAATCTATCTCGTTTGCCAATACTACAAAATAATAACTACAATGAATATAGAAAATGAAACTATTTTTCCAGATTTCAATCACAAATATACGCGATTTAAATCCGGAAAAATAGTTTCATTTCCTATGTGTAACAATCGTGAAAACCTAAGAACTCGATACAAATTTTCAAGTTTTTATTAAATGTCACGATGATTTACTTCTATGATATTCAATAATGTTTTTTGTGAAATTGTTCCACTAGTTTGTTACAAACCAAACATGAAGATCTGCATAAGCACATAGAAAAATTCGTTAGGTTCCGCCGAAGGATCGAAGGAATTTTTTCTAAGTGTTCGTTCTTTGTTATTAATAATTATAACAAAATACATATATGTATTTAAAGTATTCTACAAAACAACGTTATAATTAACAGGTAGGAGACATAATTATCGGTCTACCGTCGAACGGCATCCACAGCAATGGGTTCAGTCTGATCCACAAGCTCGTGAAGAAAGTAGGTCTCTCTCTCGACGATAAGGCACCGTTCAGCAAGGAGGGACTTACTTTGGGTAAGTTGATACGTAATGAGCAACTAAGCAATATTTAAGTTCCTGCAAAAGGCGCTGAACCTTGAAAAATGGCGCAATATATTCCGGGCCAAAGAAACTAAGTTCACGATCACAGTCACATCAGCCTTTCAACTCCATCCATATATGAACCTACTTTAAACTATCTTCAAAAATGTAAAGGCAACAAACAAAAAAAAATTAGGAAATGAAACTATTTTTCCGAATTTAAATCACGTATATTTGTTTTTTCAAACAAACCAACGTTTCGGGCCCTTTACAGGTCCCACAGTCACGATCATCGAGTATATAACCAGAAATAGAGACGAAATGTCATTTAATTTGTTTGAAAACTATTCTGCCATATCATTACTGTGACGACTGCGCTCCGATTGGCTAGCCCGAGTTCGATACAATTGATGGGTGTCGTCAACTGTTTCACTTCAAATCGACCAGTTAACTTGAGCTTTGCTATAATGGACGAAAATTGCAAAATTACATATTTAATATTTAATTACCGATGAAATGTGATTCCGTTTGTTTTGTAATTAGATGTTTTGCTGTTTTTCCCACACCACCGAATAGAACAGCACGGCATTGTTAGAGATATTATCTTTATTACAATAAATACAGAATATTTTTTGGAATATACGGAGACATACACATAGGTCAATAGTTGGCCTGTCTATATTTCAGTGCGAACGGGAGTTGATATTTATAAGAGCTGTATCGCTAATGTGTTACCAGGAATATATGGCCCTCATTTCGTCTCTATTTCTGGTTATATACTCGATGGTCACGATTGACAGTTAACGCGATTTAAATCCGGAAAAATAGTTTTGTTTCCTATGATAACAATCGCGAAAACCTAAGAACTCGATATCATACAGGTTAGTATGTTTATAGTTTTTTAAATAATATGCTAAATAAAACGTGCTAAGTGACCAAGTAATTATTTGAGATATCATAAAAAACTAGAAAGTTTAATACACAACCTTACACGTTACCTAATTTATGCTCTATTTTTTGCTATTTAAAATGGTTATTTGACCACTTGTCACTTAGCCTCGTTTTAGTTAATGGACGGCAGAACTCGTTTCTCAACCGATTTTGATGATTCTTTTTTTTTTTGTTGGAAAGAGGGTACCTCAGAAGTGGTCCAATTTGAATAAAATATTCCACCTCTAAGCGTGAGAAACTAGGGGATGAATGACTTTTGATGTCGGTTTTTTTTTAGTACTCTGTATTGATTCAACAGGCGTTTGTTTTTTGTGCGTCAAGTATGACGTGTGCCGCAACATCGTTCGGCTTGGCTGAAACTAAAGTTGTTATCACAGCTTTGTTCTTTTATTAAATAAATTAAACTTATTATGGTTCTGAAAACTAGTTAAAGCGTAGTATGTCTACGCGAGCCTATATTTTAGGAGGTGAAGTGTGGGGAACTGCATCTCGCGTCTCGCAACTTACATGCTGATTTTAAATTTTAAATTTTTTTTATTCAAATGTAAGTGTGCATTTGACCTCCATCTCACCTGATGGAAAGTGATGATGAGGTCGACGATGGAGCATATACACCTAAATAGTGCCTATTCACTCTCGCCTTGAATAGGTCCAAGTTGTAACGTTCAGGGAACAAGTCTGCAGGCAGGGAATTCCACCGCATAGCCTTTCGCCATATAAATGTGGAAGCGTAACGCTTCGTGCGAATCTTTGGAATATCCACAACATAGGGTTGGAAAGCCAAGCCTACGCCTAGTCCCCCAATGATGGAAAGGGGAAGGCGGAATTAAATCGTGTAATTCCATCGCACACTCTCCGTGATATATCCTATAGAATACCGCTAAGCAGGCAACTTTAAGGCGGTGTTCAAGGCTCTGCAGCTTCGCCTCTACTAATTCCGAGTCACCTATAAACCTCTTGACGCGATTGTCAATTGAATCCAAGGTGACCAGCTGGTATGTAGCAGTAGTACTCCATACACGATCGGACTTGATATTGGCTGATAATTAATATGAATGAAATAAGAACAGGCGGAGAAAATTTGACGCAGAATTCGTCGTCGACAAGTGCCCGATGGCGGCTGACAGGGCAACCGGCGGCGCGGCGTTAAACCGCTGGGCAATTTACAAATTTTGGGATAAACGTGAATTTTATAACTATAGTGCTTCAATTGAAAACCAAAATTTAGCAGGGACTCTGTAGTACTTACAGAGAAATATCTCCGTATAAAAATTATGTGCAAAGCTACATATTTTGTTCTTAGATAATTCGTTTTACACTTTTGTTTTAGGCCTGTTTTTAGGATTTTATATGATCGTGAGACGTATTAGCACATTCATTAGATAGTATCCTTAGGTGTATCGTATATTCTTTGTAAGACCGTTATTTAATAGTAAATACCTAAACCATCTGATCTAGCAAAGCTGTTTTTCCTGCTTCTCCTCCAGAAACATTGTACAGGCAATACTGGCATATTTATTCTTTTTTTTTAAATATTAAGTGACGGGACTAACAAGTCGTGCGCCTGATAGTAAGCTACACGCCTGTCCATAACAGTTGCAGTGCCACTCAGAGCTTTAAATCGCAAACATCTGAGGGACACTGTCACTGCGCCAGTGACCCTGAGACTTAAGTTGACAAGTCCCATATGCCTGTAATTTCATCAGCACCCTTACCCTTCTAAACCTGAAAACAGTAATGCTGTTATTACTGCTTGGCCGCAGAAATAGGTAATTCCCTTATTTATAAATACCTTGTATTGTTTCTGTAGTTGCATTGGATATATTTAATTAAATTGTATTGTATGTTTGTAAACCAGGTGAAGAGCTAATAAAACCAGCCCGCATCTACGTTAAGAGCGTACTACCAGCTCTGCAGCGCGGATGCGTCAAAGCCGTGGCGCATATAACCGGTGGTGGGTTGTTGGAGAACATTCCTCGCGTCATACCGGGAACTGTTCGCGCTAGGTTGAATGCTCATCAGTGGAATATTCATTCTGTAAGTATGAACTGATAATTGTGATAATTATAATGCTGCAACATGGTGGCGTATAATTGACAGTGTTCTGTTAGACAGCATACCGAGGACTGTACACGCTAGGTTCAGTGCTCATCAGTGGATAATTATTAAGGGTTTTACGATGGTAGAATGAGATGAATCATTGTCGACCGACAGTTCCTATTACACCAAATCGATCTGCTCGATTGCTCGATTTGTCGATGATCGACCTAGGTTCTTCTATGTACATTTTAAAAGTTACTAGAGAGTCCATTTGTGAAGATCCCTCGATTTGATCGTCACGATAATCGTGTCGATCCGTCGCTATTCCCCTGGTCTTTAAACTAATCATTAACGAAATAAACATACGCTATCAATTCGTTGTTTTGGTCAGTCTGAAACGGCGAACCGTGAAGACATATCGGCCCGTGTATGGGGGTCTCCAGACTTCTATTAACATAAACAATGTATGCAGCAACAATAACTCATATTATTCCTTTATTTAAATTGCAATAAGGTGATATTGATAATATGAAACAAATGATTATTCTAGTTAATATATGTAGATTAGGTAAGATGCCGCTAGATGGCGTTGAACAGTTTTAATGAATTTTCTAAAACGCGCTATTGAGTTTTCGAAATTTTATTAACTATAACATATACATATAATTGGCATACACATGAGAACAATACTACAATTACAATCTCTAGAGTAATCATATAGTCTGGCCCAACTGCTGACCCGACCGCCGTTCGCGCATGCCCTCGCTACTCTTAATCGAGTAACTAATACAATTGACTTATTTCATTACACTGAGTAGAGGTGGGCGTTTAAACGTAAAGCACTTAAAAAGTTTGCTTTTTAAAATAAGAAGCCTTTCATAAGCATAAGCACGCTTTTCAACTAAAGCGTAAGCGTTGGTCAGTTCCAATACTCAACAATTTGATTTTTTACAACGTGCTTACGTTTCAAGTCCCGCCATGTTTCCTAAACAAATTAATTCGTCCATGTGAATAATAATAAATAAACTTACTTCCATCTTAAAACTTTTGGTGATCTACTCTTGCTTTTCGCTATCAGTACAATGTTGCAAGCTTTCATTAACAGAAAACTCTACGCGTTTAAACGTTTTTCTAAACGATTTTGTAAGCTTGGAAAAAGCTTCAAAGCGTAAGTGAAAAGCATTTAGAAAAACATAACTTTTAACGATTAAAAAAATAAGCATTATTTCCCATCTCTAACACTGAGTGAATTCAAAATAGATGCCTTACATATAATGTATATAACATATTCTTCAACTATTTTATTTATGTGCCTTCTCTAACGAATTAATTTTTTGCCCGCCTTCTTCTTCTTGTTCTTCTTCCTCGCGTATCGACTCTGACGTTTATATTTGTGAGGACTAGTACTCAGCGACTGACACAGCATTATCAGTGGCATCAAATAAATAAACATGTAAAGTCCCCATCGAGTATATAACCTGAAATAGAGAAGAAATAAGGGCCATCCATCATTGGCAACACATCAGGCAAATGCACCTTATATCACTTTTAAATGTCAACTCTCGTTTGCACTGCAATCACAAATTAGAAAGCTGAAATAGTACGCCAACAACTGACCTGTGTAATAAAGATAATATCTAACATTGGGGGGCTGTTCCATTCGGTTGTGGGAAAAACAGCAAAACATCTGATTACAAAACAAACAGAATCTTAATTTTCATTTTCGTCCATTATAGCAAATCTCAAGTTAAACAGGTCGATTTGAAGTGAAACAATTGACGAAACCCGTCAATTGTTTCGAAATCGGGCTGGCCAATCGAAGCGCAGTTCTCACCATAATGATTTGGCAGAATGGTTTTCAAACAAATTAAATGACATTTCGTCTCTATTTCTGGTTATATATTCGATGAATGTCCCCAACCCGTATTAGGCCAGGGAGACGTACTATGATTTAAACCTTAGCGGAGACGTGCTATGATTTAAACCTTAGCGGAGATCCAGACCCAGCAATGGGACATATGAGTTGAAAGTATGAAAATGAATACTGTTTTTTTTTCAGGTATTCGCGTGGATAATGGACGCGGGATCAGTGCAAGAATCAGAAATGCTGCGTACTTTTAACTGCGGAATTGGAATGGTGCTTATTGTTTCACCTGAAGACCAAGCCGAGGTAAGCTCGATTCAATATAACATATTCGATCATGGGGCCTACTATGAGCTTTTATAGTAATCCTGATTAAGCCCGTTTGTTGAATTGAGGGTATGTGTGGTTTATTGTGGTTTTATACTGATCTTGATTCTGTGTCAGGTGATGAACATAACGCGCGCGTACGGAGCGATGGTGATCGGCAGCATACAGGCGCGGCCGCCAGGTGGCGCCAGAGTCGTCGTTGACAACTTCGCCTCGGCCATCAACTTCACACGGCGCATGCCGTTGCTGCCCAAGAAGAAGGTAATATTCATACTATTTAAATTATCCGTGTAGAGTACTAAAAAATCCAACCCCAAAAGTAATTCTTAGAAATGGAAATTTAAATGAGACCACAAAAAAGAATCATCAAAATTGGCTCACAAATGTCGGAGTTATCGCGTAACATTCCTACAAAAAACATAGTCTAATAGAGAACCTCCTCCTTTTTGAAGTCGGTTAAAAACACTTCTCTACGTCAGTTAATGGTGAAATTGCGATTTAAAGCTCCGAGTAGCACAGCAAATGCTATGGACAGGCGTGTCGCTTACAACCAGGTGCACGATTTGTTCGTCCTGTCACTTGATATCATAAAATAATAAAAATATAACTGGCACGGTATGCAAGAAGACGTCGGTTCGAATCCGACCGGATCGAAGGTATTTTTTCTGAGTGTTTTTTCTGAGTGTTCGATCTTTGTATTAATAATTATAACAAACTAGTGGAGTAATTTCACAAAAAATAATTGAATATCAATTCAATAAAAATTTAATTAATACAGTGAATAGCGACATCTCTCGCCAGGACTGGTAGCTGTAAAGGTACTAACTGGGTGATAAATCTGTCATAGATTTCTCATAGATGGCGCTACGACTAAAAAGTCGTTGAAAGACCAAAAATATAACTGTCAAAGAATTTGATGTACAAGTAGTCAAGGTTGAAAGAGTGGTTAAGCAGAATAAAGTGGATTATTTTAAATTCAAGTGAAACACAAATTGACAAGTCCCATGTGCCTGTAATTTCACCAACACCCTTACCCTCCCAAACCGGAATGCAGTAATGCTCACATTACTGCTTGGCGGCAGAAATAGGTAAAGGGGCAGTGCTTCCTTGGACGAACTCTTTCACAAGGAGCTCTACTGGTACTAAAAATACATTCATACAAAGATTAAATACATCTGTACTCGAACCTGTGTCGGTTGCCATACCAGGACCACCATTCTTAACCAACTGAGCTACAGATCGAATTTTCTTATCTTATTATTATTTTTAAACATCACTATATTTAATAAACAATTCAAAAAAGTACATTGATGGCGTACGGTAGTAAACTGAGTGACACCTTTTACTCCACAGGTGGCGGTACTCGTCTCAGGCAACGGCAGCAATCTCCAAGCGTTAATCGACACAACAAACGACCCCTCGCAGTGCATTTGCGCAGAAATCGCCCTTGTTGTTAGTAACAAGAAAGGCGCTTATGCGTTGCAGCGCGCTGAGAAACACGGAATACCAACCTTGGTGAGTGTTATTAAACTTGTGATAATGTCTGGTACACCTACTTGGTTCCTATGGTAAACGACTAACTAATCTATTTCAAAATAATGTAATAGTAATGGCTACGAAGATCTTCAACAAACTGCATTGATACAATAAATTAGGAATTGCAATGATTGTGCAGAGTTTAAGAAATTATTATTTGATTACCTGAATGATACAACATTCTACAATATTGAATATTTAGTATAAAATTTACATTTCATATTATTTATGAAATCTGTCATTGTTATATTCTATGATTTATTAGCATCAATGAATACATATAGTCTGTCTTTTTTCAAGACGGGTTAAAATAACATTTGTAGGGTTGCCAGTTTTCATAAAATTTTTAATAGTTATGTAGTTGTTGGCGATAGTTTTATCGATAGATTGTGAAAGAAGACATAATTATGCCAAAAATGACTGAATTGTAAATGTTACGACGTTCTAATGATTACTGATTGCGTCATTACCCTCTTTATTCTTATAATGACAGTGCCCTACTAGTGTCGAGATGATTTTTTAATCATATACATTTTAATAAGTATAGCCGGATTGGATTCTATATTGAATTTAAATGAAAATCTTTAAAATATGTCACCTCTTTGTATTTTTCATAAACATAGTTCTAATTGACAATTGAAATGAACTTTTGCTTAGTAATTAGGTGAATAATGGATCGACTATAATTCTAATGAAAAGTGACCGATATTCAATCGATAATTGATTATCGACTGCAATCACTAGCTGCTCGCAAGCTGGCAACAATTTTGCGCAATGTACTGTCATTTTACTCCGTCTTCAAAAAAGACAGACTGTATCGATTCGATCGACTCATCCGTAGAACAAAGATCTATCTGCAAGACTACTTGTTCTCAGGACATAATACGTTTCGGTCGTTCTTCTTCGCTGTGGATGTCAGATCGAGTGTTGTTCGATATTATATTTCCGAAACGAAATAAGATATATAAATTCTCTAAACACCTTACAGTAGGCCTTAGTTTGAATAACGAAATTATTCTCGTAACGTACTTATTCTTTTTTCGCTATATAATCACATCGGACTCTGTTCTTCGGATGTGTCGAGATGATACGAACGCATGGCATACTTCCAGCTATGAAATGTTGGTGATGATACTAAAAAAATAATTGTTCAGTGAATTTGACGTGCCAAGGAGTATAATGGTTTTTGAATTGATGTGACGATTTCAAGTCTAGTTTGATTGATTATGAAATAAAAATATTTTCAATAAATAAGTAACGACGCTAGGACTAAAGCGTGAACACACGAGAACGGGTGCGAGTCGGGCGCGGGTCGGGTTGGGACCGCGGCGGGTCTAATTATGTGTACTTATGAACAACAACGCGCCGAGCGCGGGCGGCTTTAATGCCTCTTACCATTGCATGATTTTTAGTATTATTATATTTTAGTATAACTGCCTCCGTGGCCGAACGGTCATCATGCTGAACTGCCACACAGTGGTCCCGGGTTCGATTCCCGGGTCGGGAGAACTATTTGCATGGCCTACATTTATTTCTCTCGTGAGTTTGGGTGTAATTTGTGGTTGTCTAGGTATGTGTCCATGGCAGCCGCATTGCAGGGCTTCCCTAGTATGGGGCTATGTAAAGAAACAAAAAAAAGCATTCTAAAGCAAGTTTGTAAAAAATTCTAAATTCCAAAATTATGGGCTTAAGGTCGTTTACCTTTCGCGTACAGAAATATAAACGTTACTATTTTATATTCCCACTTTTTTATTTCGCTCATTTAGTGCCGCTGCGTGATACGATTTGGTTGCCCGCATCTATCATGGGGATCTATAATTTAATTCGTAACATTTGAACAGGTATTTAACATCAAAGAGTACAACTCGCGGGAGGAGTTTGACCGCGCTGTCTCTGCCGCCTTGGAATCTCATAAAATTGACATCGTCTGCCTCGCTGGATATATGAGGATTTTATCTTCTGAGTTTGTACAGAAGTAAGTACATATCAGAAAAAGGTTTGTGCTGTATAACAGTGAGGAGTATTATGATCCGTGAACGATGTGGTTTGAAAGAAGACGTAGTGACAAAAATAGAGAAAGGTGTGTTGAGGTGGCTTGGGTTGAATGAGTGGTAAAAGAGATATTGTAGCAGAACAGTTCCTTGTAAAAGAGTTCGTCCAAGGAAGTACTGCCACCTTATTTATGCCACGAAGCAATAAAGTGAGCATTATTGACTTCCGGTTTTGAAGAATGCTGGTGAAGTTACAAGCACATGGGACTTGTCAACTTATGTCTCAGGATCACGGGCGCAGTGGTAGTGCTCCTCAGATCTTTGCTATTTAAAGCTCTGAGTGGCACTGCAACTGTTATAGGTAGGCGTGTCGCTTACCACCAGGTGCACAATTTGTTCGTCCCCTAACTTGGTAGCGTATCGTGGAAACCTGCCCTGGCGAAAGAGATATAAAGAGCTAACGTGGAAGGACATTCTCAGTTCAAATCGAGAATGTTCTTCAAAACTTTGGAGTGCGTAGTGAGAAGAATGGGAGGGCTTGTATGAACAGATTGATGAGTGAAAGTGAAGCAAGAGAGTTGAGAGGTTTGCCAGGATCGTGGAAACTGGCAATCGATAGTTTCTGCTTACCGCAAAGGGAATTCAAAGAGCAAAAGAGGAAGTATATGTATGAATGTATGTAAGTATGTGTTCATTAAACTACGTAAGTACAGACGGCAGCATATCAAGCTAAACATTGACGGATCTTTTTCCGTTTTTCTGGTGGCGATGTATGAACTAAAATGCATAATAACTTGATGTGCTGTTGACTATACACTTTGTCTGAATTTACTCATTTTTCGGTTAATGAAATTAAATTTAAAATAAAATTAAATTTTAAGATATTGACTTTTTTAAAGTAGCCTGCAACTGTCCCATTGCTGGGCAATTACCTCTCCTTCGTACTTCCAACTGTTTGTTAATAGAGTAGACTTAGACGCGTTCTTGAGTGACTGGCCGAAGCTTGCTGTGGCCAGAGGAGTTGGAAGTCCGAGGGAATAGTAACATTATAGAAATTTGAAATTTAAATTCAAGAAATTTTAAGTGTAACTTTTATAATAAAGAAGGTTTAAGAATTAAAATTTTAGAATTATAAAAGAATAGAAAACGCCCATTGACACTAAAATATTCTTAGCCTGACACTAAAGTGTTAACATCTGGACAGGTGGAAAGGCCGTCTGATCAACATCCACCCCTCATTGCTGCCAAAGCACCCTGGCCTGCATGCGCAGAAACAGTGCCTGGACGCCGGCGACAGAGAAAGTGGATGCACCGTCCATTTCGTTGACGTGAGTCGTGTTTCTCTAATAGTACATTGTGACACAAGGGTGGTAAGTATGCAATTACTAATATACAAATACGTTCAAAGTTAATCTCCCGGACCTAAGCGCCTTCCATATTTAAGTACCCGAACTATGATTAATTTAGTATATTGCATTTGCTTATTGTATGAAAGAGCACTTTATTAAATTTAACTAACTTTTACTCATATGAAATGAAACTACTTTTCAATAAACTTAATTATTATTTATTATATATATTAAATTAAATAATATAATTAAATTATTATGTATTAAATTTAACTGCCTCTGTGGCCTAACGGTTACCATGCCGGACTGCCACGCAGAGGTCCCAGGTTCGATTCCCGGGTCGGGAGAAATAGTTGTATGGCCTACAATTATTTCTCTCGTGAGTTTGTATGTAATTTGTGGTTGTCTATGTGTGTGTCCATGGCACCCGCGACACAGGGTTTCCCTAGTGCGGGGCTATGTTGAGTGTGTACGTTATTATTATTATTGTTATTATTAATAGTTTCAATTCCTACGTATAACAATCGTGAAAACCTAAGAACTCGATAAACTTTTACTGTCTCGATTTCTTCTTTCAATACAATGAAATGGTCAAATAAATTAAATAATTATTTATTTCATCACACTTGCTTGTAAACAGTACCATAGCATGCAGGTACAGTCGGCGGTAATGTCCTAATAAATTACGGGCTTTTTTATTACACTACCGCCGTATTAGAGTGGTAATAGATTTTTTGTCACATCATTGCATTTATTTCCTCGCAATTGTGATGAAAAACATTGTACGTAGCACTGACGGTAAAAAATTACAAACCTCGAGTCATTAAAACCCTCAGCATTCGGCTTCGGGCTAATGGTCTCTCGTTAGCAATTTCTTATGTACTTCAGTTGTTTTTAAACCATCTTTCTAATGAATTAGGTTGATTTTGAAATGCCGCATTGTAGAAAGCCACCGATATTACTTTGTTTAGTACTTTTTTTTTTCTCAAAAGTGTTACTTTTCGATTAGGTCATTTTATTATAGTGGGTGCGAAATATAAATTCCATTAATATTTGCACCATCGAGTATATAACCAGAAATAGAGACGAAATAAGGGCCATATATTCCTGGTAACACATTAGCGATACAGCTCTTATAAATATCAACTCCCGTTTGCACTGAAATATAGACAGGCCACCTACTGACCTGTGCGTAGGTCTCCGTATATTCCAAAAAATATTCTGTATTTATTGTAATAAAGATAATATCTCTAATAATGTCGGGCTGTTCTATTCGGTGGTGTGGGAAAAACAGCAAAACATCTAATTACAAAACAAACGGAATCACATTTCATCGGTAATTAAATATTAAATATGTAATTTTGAAATTTTAGTCCGTTATAGCAAAGCTCAAGTTAAATTGGTTAATTTGAATTGAAACAATTGACGAAATTCGTCAATTGTTTTGAATTCGGGCTGGCCAATCAGAACGCAGTTGTCACCATAATGATTTGGCAGAATAGTTTTCAAACAATTCAAATGACATTTCGTCTCTATTTCTGGTTATATACTCGATGATTTTACACAACAAATAAACGTATGCGCGTGAACATGGTTAAAAAACTAATTATTTCCATTCAAATAGGAGGGCATGGACACAGGGCCAATAATCCTTCAAGAGAGGGTGCCTGTTCTTAAGGATGACACTGAAGAAACCCTAACAGAACGCATACATACTGCGGAACATCGTGCCTACCCGCAGGCGTTGAGGCTCCTCGCCGCTGGCAGGGTGAGGCTCACCAACTCTCATATAATGTGGTATTCGTAGGAATAGATTTAGTAAAGATAGACAAGTTAAATGTGCACTAGCGTAATTTTAGGAACATGGTCTCCTCGGGTCTTAAAGGTCCATTTAGATGGAGAGATATTGCATGATATTACTATCGCAAATAATCATTGCAATAAGATTTACTTCGTTTTTTTTAACATTACAAATAAGGTAAACAAAGAAGCTGGATTATTCAAACATTTTTCTTCTCAAGTGATGACCTAAAAAAAACGATTCTACATAATGAAAGTTTAATTTTTAGTTATTAAAGAACAATGGCAAAATCATAGTCAAAAGAATTCGTTAGCATCTTCAAATGTCTTAATTACAAGTTTGATTAAAATAAATTCATTAGGTTTTTCAAATTATAATAGCGGCCTATCTAAGTCTGGAAATAAAATCATATTGAAAAGAAACTTAAATGACTAATTAGTATGTTACCGGGCTGATATCTACAGCTATCAGTTTCTTAGTATTTCAGTATCTATCGTTTGAATATGCTCCACGTTTAGTTCACGTAATATCAAATGTACTGATTCGACCGATTTGTAATAAGCTAACAAAATATTAACTACTTCATTACAAAAAATAAAGTCGATAATTTCTTCTCCAAAATGCCACGCGTGAAAATGGTAAATCTGACAAAAAGTTCCAAAAATTAGGGGATAGTGGCACGTTTCACAAAAAAATTATTTGTGTCTGAGTTATCAGTACAATAGTTTGTGGTATGTTATTAATTGTGGTATGTTATTTATTAACTCAGTTGGATTCACTCTGGGCATTTTGGAGGGAAAAGTGTCGTTTTTATTTTGACTTTCAATTATTTTGTGAAATCTGGTTTAAAGTGGAATAGGATAGTGCTATTGTACTTAATCGAAGATTAAAACGCGAAATTATACGAATATCGAACTAAAATACCCGTATCGGCCCGTTCTAAGGAATCCCGAGTCAATCCAAGCACGCCGCCTCAAATTGCCTATCCTCTTTGTGGCGGCCATATTTACAGAAACAATTAAACTTCATGTTTAGGCTGATGGCTTTGCCAAAGCCTTAATAAATTTAAAAAAATAAAAATTTACTCAGTTTTTTTTTTGGCCTAACTTCATGCCTTTTGACCATACCAGTATACAAAATAATTTCCTCTGAACTTTTGGCACGTCACAAACCCACGGCACTATTCAGCTTCTATTAATTCTGTTTAAGGCTTCTGTGATTTATTTTGTTATAATAATACACCGAATATATTTATATATATATGGGAGTTTGCTATTGTACTTTAATACCATTATTAGGTGTGTCGTCACTAGCGGTGCCATGGCTAGCTGTGCCATTATAATATCAACACTCTTGTGACCGCTACAGATACACTGAACTTGAATTAAATCACTTTGCATTTACTAAAATCCAGACCATTAATAAACCACAACTTCAGTCATAACTTTTAAGATTTTATAGACATTATCTAATTCCTCAATCGTGTTTTCAAAACTTAAATAGTATGTATATATAATTATGGTGCTCGCTCGCGAGACTATCCTAATACAAACTATTACTTGCGAAGTCATTTTTAACTTGTCAATCTATATAGTGTAACTAAACAAAATGTGAAATATTTACATAATTAAATATCAATTGAAGGTATGTTTATAAAATAGCCAAGATTATCTTTACTATTATAATTAAAAAGACAGAAAATATTAAGCTATAGTAAAATCATCACAATTTTCAAATGTGCCATACATATCGTATTTTATTTATAGATACAGTAACAAATTAATGATCACAGTGAATGACCCAATTATTGTCAGTCTAAGGATGCGTATAGATCTGGCGAATACGCTCGAAATAAGAGCAGTTACACACGGCTAGTTTTAGAAGTGCGTTTGGAGCTATTCAGTCCTTTACGTCTTTAATGATTCAACATAACGCACATGTAACCAAATATTGTCGTTACTCAAAATTGTGGAATTGAGAAAACACGGTTTGATATATTGCGAATAATATGATTATTTTGATTTATACATAGCATTTAGTTATCCGTTTATAAACGAGAATATATAATTACATTGGTTTCTTTCAGTACTTTTTTCTTGTGTTACATGTTTGTGATATCTTTTGTTTTAGATTCTTACCTGAGTATTTTATCCATTATATTCATTGACTTATAATTATATGGACGTCGGGTCCGCGCTAAAAAGTGTCCGCACTTGTAAGGCGCTAAAATCGTATACAGAGCGCCAAACTCCGCTTTAGTCTTCATTTGTTAGACTGACAGCGCGATACTGCGATGACATTACAATTTAAATTTCGAATAGGTTGACTTGGGACATTTTTTTCGTGGTTTTTGTATTAGACCCGTCGTCCATTTATTTGTAAGTCAATGATTATATTGGACCAACCCATCAACACTAGTTAATGTCTCAATAGAGCTCAGTGTTTTTTTTTCTTTTTACCGTGACATTGGCAAAATCGTCATTTCATGTAATGATGGAGCCATAAAAATAAAAAATGTAGTTACATGAGTTCCGACAGTATTTCCGCGTTTTCGTTTGTATCGCTGCTAAAAGTGCCGTGTGTAACAGCTCTAAATTCAAATATAGGCACATATTCTATCTTATTCTAGAACATTTTTTATGCCAATGATTACATCACTGCCAGTACAATACTACTTCATCCTATTTCTTCACTTGCAAACTTTTGATTTTATTATTACATTAATTATATATTAATTCTAAAAGCATTTTATGAAAGAGATTTCAAACAATAACTCACTTTTTCTAGTACCGAAACAATTTTTTTTAGTATATTGTATAAAAATGTCATAATAATTAAAATTATAGCAATAATTCAAATAGAACCCACTTCGACTTAACATTTTAGAACTTAATTACATTTTTTTGTTCAATTGAGACATTGTTTGCTTTAAACAATTAATGAAAACGGAACAATTTTTCTATATGTCGACCCCTCCTACGTAAAGTATCGTATGTCGAAATTGCTAAATTTACAGGGGAGCGTTTTAAAGTTTTGAATTCACTGAAGTGAGCACAACACGTGACTTTAACATTTCTCGGTTTTATTCGGCAAAGCTTGTTACTCACATAGAATGATCATCTAAGAAGTCATCATAGATAATCTAAGATATCTAGGATTTCCTAAATACGAGCTTTGCCGAATAAAACTGAGAAATGCTAGTCAAGTGTTATGCTCATTTCAGTGAATTCAGAACTTTAAAACGCTCCCCTGTAAACTTGGCAATTTCGACATATGATACTTTACGTAGGAGGGGTCGATGTATATGTTTTGAAAATTACTTTGCTCCAATGCTATGTTGTTTCAATTTATTGTAAAAATGCATTCCATGGCTATTAGATAATAACTTATGTCAGAATAACTTGTGTCGTTCAAAATGATGGTTTCGTTTCACATCTCTGTATCACTGCAATTGTTATGAATAGGCGTGTTTCTTCCAACCCGGTGCACGACTTATTCATCCTGTGATTTAATATCATAAAAAATATTCACGATAAATTACGAATATAAATATTATAAAAGAAATTTCTGTACATACGAAGATTGTAAATTATGAAATTTACACCTCGAATTGTTGTTGAATATTAAGGATACTCCGGCAATTTAAATAGTCAAGTTGTAAAAATTTATTCTATAATTCATAAGTTTATCATCTATGGACCAATTGCTTCATAGAATTAAGATTTAAGACATTTCTGTACACATACGCATAAATGATAAATTATTGAATGTGTACCTCGAATTATTAATTATAAAACGCTCTCCGGTGATTTGTCTCAAAAAGTTGTATGTAAAAAGCATGCCTTTTAATAATGTAAGTGCCTAAAATGTGTTATGTTTAAGTAAATTATGGAACGAAAATCTAAAAGACATTCCAATACTTATAAAAATTATAAATATTAAAACATAAATGTTGTAAATCAAGGACACTTTTTAGATACAATATTGTAAAAATGCATTCCTTTGTAATAACGTGCTTAAAAATATATCATATTTGAGAAAATAATGCATTGATTTTCAAGTAACTCAGTCAATCTAAAGAAAGTATGTGTTAATACAAAAATTATAAATTTTAAAACATAAATCTCGAATTATTGTTGAATATCTGGAACACTGGTTATTTTGATGTAAGAAGTTTGTGTTGTAAATAAACCTTCCATTGTTAATAACTAATGTCCCTAAAAATGTGCCATGTTGAGTCGGATTAAAAAACAACAGGCAGAAAGCACGTCGAACACGAGAGTGAAGCCACCAAAAAGCAAATACAAATTCAAAAGCGAATACAATCGTCAAATATACGTTACGAGTGATTAGTTATTTTGTGTTTAAAAATGCCCTCGCCTTGAAACATTGTAAAAGTTGTTCCCAAAAACAAAAAAGGAAACGGAATATCATTTCACTGGTAACTATTGATTATTTAACTGTTTTGTTATTTATTTACCCGATATATTTTGAGATTCTCTCGGAACACAAAACCTCGACATTAATTCGTATGTGTTGCCAGTTTATATCAAGCAAATTATTTATATATACTTTTATTTATTCAAATAATGCGTGCATATGTATACATTATTTTGTAATCCGGGGTTTACGAAAATAAACGTCATATTCATGCATGATAGAATCCAGATTGAAAAGAAGTCGTTTTTAAAGTTATAACTTTAGAAAAATATATCTCGAATTATTGTTAAAACTCAAAGACCTTTTTATAAATGTATAATTCTAATTTGTGAAACCTACATCTCGAATTCAAGATCTTATAATGTATACTTTTATTAAATTATACAAGTTTAGTCTATAAGCATTTGTTTAGAGCATTTACTGAATATTGTTAGTAATAACCTTTTAGTATATAGTTTATTAGAGTTTTGTACTTTGTTGTATGAGTTTGTGTTTATAAATAAAATGTTTATTTTAGTTCCATAATTTTATTTACCACAAAACGTATTATGAGTATGTATGGTAGGTATGTTAAATATTTTACACAAGGTTTTGAAATGAGTTATAAACCCTTCGGTCCAATTGGTCTACTTTCCTGATTCCTATTGTATGTACTTCGATTCGTCGATTTCTGAATTCATGAAACTCAATTGTCTTGTAAAATTGTGTTATAAAACACTGTTTGCTGTATAAAACAGTGATTGCTACTTGCTTGGGTTATAAAGAAATATCATTACTTTCCCGACCCAAAAATACGTACTTTCCCGATCCAAAAATATGTACCTTTGTGACGGTGTGACCTCCTTGATCGTCCCACATTTTTATTTAAATTCCTTATTTTATTCTCACAGTCGTATTTAAATTCAAATTTTGAATTGTTCCATTCTTTTGCCTCGCTTTCCGATTTTAGCGGACGGAGCTACTTAAATTGATTGATTCTTTTCTAGGTATAATCATATTAATACAATATAAATCATGTATCATTCTTGATAAGTGCATAACAGTCTATCTAGTATCTGTAATTCAGCATAACTAAGCCCGTTTAGGGATAAGTGTCTAATATTCAATATCATCAAATTAGGGAGTGTTTTTTATATCAATGTACCTGTTATATTTATAATAAATAACGCACACACTCAACATAGCCCCGCACTAGGGAAACCCTGTGTCACGGGTGCCATGGACACACACATAGACAATCACAAATTACACCCAAACTCACGAGATAAATAAATGTAAGCCATACAAACATTTCTCCCGGCCCGGAAATCGAACCTGGGACCTCTGCGTGGCAGTCCGGCATGGTAACCGTTCGGTCACAGAGGCAATTTATAAATACCTTTAATGTTACAATGTTAATTTACCCTTTTCTTTGTTATCACGACGTCAATAAATTTGTGGTATTTATGTTACAATGTTAATTTACCCTTTTCTTTGTTATCACGACGTCAATAAATTTGTGGACCGGATGTTTCCTGTTTTACTGCCGTGAACCTGGTCACGGCTCGTTAGGGTTACAACCCTTTCACTGGCACCCGAACACATCTCATTCTATCTTTTTGAACCTTTTACATTTTAACGACCATAATATTGTTAAACCTGAATAAATACCTATAAAACCGGACTTTCAACTTTTGAACTACTAAACTTACTAAGTAAGATGTATGGACGCTGCGGAGGCTACTATACTGAATGTAGTAGTAGTAGGAATGGTGAAATGCTGGAGCACCAGCAGCGCTTCTCCACCTATGCCTATGTTTAATTATGTTGAACCATCGAGAATTTAACCAGAAATAGAGACAAAATGACATTTAATTTGTTTGAAAACTATCCTGCCATATCATTACTGTGACAACTGCGCTCCGATTGGCCAGCCCGAATCGAAACAATTGACGGGTGTCGTCAACTGTTTCACTTCAAATCGACCAGTTAACTTGAACTTTGCTATAATGGACGAAAATTGCAAAATTATGTATTTAATATTTAATTATCGATGAAATGTGATTCCATTTGTTTTATAATTAGATGTTTTACTGTTTTTCCCACACCACCGAATAAAACAGCACGGCATTGTTAGAGATATTATCTTTATTACAATAAATACAGAATATTTTTTGGAATATACGGAGACCTACGCACAGGTCAGTAGTTGGCCTGTCTATATTTCAGTGCAAACGGGAGTTGATATTTATAAGAGCTGCATCGCTAATGTGTTACCAGGAATATATGGCCCTTATTTCGTCTCTATTTCTGGTTATATACTCGATGTGTTGAACCAACACATGTTGATAATATTTACAACTCACTTCAAGAAGAAGTACTGGGATTAAAAATGTTTAAAAATAAAAATAAAACACAAGGTTTTGGTACATATTGGCTTTTATTTGTTGGTTAAGAACTGAGTGGGAGTGAGGAAGACAGATATGGCCTTACTATGCCTGTGTCGTAGTACACAGTTTACATAAAACTTTAATTCTATTAAAAAAATAGCACATAAATATCACAGGCAAGTTGCAGTGAAACAACTATGTTGTTAACTATCGACTTCTTTTTTCTTTTCTTTGGAAGTAAATAAATCACATACAGCTCTAAACATTATTCCAAACAAATCGTCTTTATGATCAATAGCTGTTGGAATTTCTCGTTTCACTTCCTCGATTTTAACTATCTTTTCTTTTGAATGTTCACAATTTTTTAATATTTCTTCGCATAACTTGTCAAATTCTACAAGGAACTTCTGTCTATCTATTAAAGGAACTATTAAATTATATTTGTTAATTTTGGTGTTTATTGATTTAGCTATATGTCGATTTTCGTGACATATTTTATCCCATTTATCTTTGTCCGATGCGCTGAGAGGATAAGGACCTAAGTACATGCGATGGATTGCAATGTCTTGCTTTAACAGTTTTATATCGTGATCTATCTCTTTGCTCATCATGATCCATTCCGGAGTAAAGCCATTGTTTATTAGAACCTGCAAACAATAAATTGCAAGGGGTCAACATTTTTACTGTATGTTATGTATTCAGACTTGGGAACACCTATTAGGGCAATGAAAATATGTGCCCTGTGCATGTCAACATGACCACTGCCTAATATTATGTTTTACCAACCAATTATAACACATTTTTATTTTATTTTTTTTTATTTTTTTATTTTTTTTTTTTTTATACCTGACAGGCATTTAGACATAGTGTTATGAACAGGGCTCTGAGTTGAGAGAGTTAATTAAGCTAAACTAAAGAATAATGTGGACATTCCCTTCTACAAATCCCGGGATTTCTCAAAACTGATTATATTTGTATATGCGTATTATTTGTTGAAATTTTAATAAATTGGCAACAATTATCATTTCCTATTAAGTATTTGCTAGAAATTATTGTTTCAAAAAATAATATTGCAGTTGTTTACTTGAAGACGTCGGTTCGAATCCGGCCGGATTGAACGATTGTTTTCTAAGTGTTCAATCTCTGTATTAATAATTATAAACTAGTGGAGTAATATCACAAAAAATAATCAAATATCAATTCAATATAAATTTAATTGTTGTGTTTCTAGAAGTACTTGGGTAATTTTGAAGTAAATTTTTTGTACTCATTTTCGGTAACAATTTCTTTTTATTTAAATATTTATAGAAGATCATCATGAAGTTCTTATAAATATTCGAGTGTAGTAACCTGAATTATTGTTTAATTTCACGAGGATATATTCGAGTAATTAAATAATAGTATTTAAATACGTTAGCCATTTAAAATATAAATATTTGACAACCTATATTTTGGAATGTTTAGAAAACAAACAATAAAAAAGTATGTTATATGCATTGATGAAGAAATGGATATGTCCATACTCAGAAAATGTTCATATGAGTGCCATACTTAATTTCGACATTTTCGACTCGACAGTACTTCGACTACACATTAATTCGACAAAACACATGTTCAACAGGTCACTAGTCCGACAGAACACTGCTTCGACAACACAAACATTCGATAGGTTACTACACCAATATAAAACTACTTCGACAACACGTGTATGTCAGGTCACTATTCCGACAGAATATGAAATCGACAAATAACTGTTAAGTAGTTATTATTTATTTCTCAGACATATTTATGTATACGAAATATTTCGCTCAAGAATGAAGTGGTCCATAAGTAGTTTCTCAGTACAGCAAATATTTATATTAAATATTTCATGCTCAGTTGGAATAGTAACCTGTCGAATACATGTGTTGTCGAAGCTATGTTCTGTCGGACTAGTGACATGTCGAACATGTGTTTTGTCGAAGTAGTGTTCCGTCGTATTAATGCGTAATCGTAGTACTAGTGGTCGAAATAGTGTTTGTCGAAATGAATTATGACACTCATTCGTACTTTAGGTAAATTAACTCCCACAATTCCGAACACTGGGTATGAACTTTGGATATACTTTAAATTCTTTATTTAAGAAATTATTTGTGACAATTTATTATAACTTTATCTACATTTTCTCGTGTTTGTTTTACCTCGACTACGGCTACCCCAATAATATGTATGTAGTATTTACTGAATATTTTATAGGGTGAGTTTTGAAGTCGCATAGCCTGAGCTTTTTTTTATGTAAAGAAGGAGGCAAACGAGAAGACAAGCCACTTGATAGAAGGTGGTCATCGTCGCCCATGGACATTTGCAACATCAGATGAGCTGCCTATGCGTTTGAGAGCCCCTATAAACACGCTTTTTGAAGAACTCCATGTCATAGCGCAAATACTTCAGAATAAAGATCATTCCACATCTTACAGGTTCGAGGAAGAAAAAAACGAGATGCCTGCGCGGACTTATAATGCCAGGCATCTAAGATGTGGTGATGGACGGATGGATGGTGTGCGACGGTACACTCCCCATTATAAAGACAGTAGAATACACACAGAGAGCGAACGTCTCTCCATAGGCTAAGGAGTTCCACACCGTCTGTGAGTTTGGGATCATCAATAATACGAACAGCCCTACGTTGGATGGAGTTAAGTGGATCAAGCTGGTATTTAGGAGCTCCTGCCCAGAGATGCGAGCAATACTCCATATGGGGCCGTACTTGTGTTTTATATAACAAAAGTCGGTGACCTGGAGAGAAGTACTGCTTCGCTCTATTGAGCACTCTGAGCTTTTTTGAAGCCAGTGTAGCTATGATCTCGATTTTAGTCGGCGAAGTATCCCAATACTCTTAGAGATGGTAAGGGTAGTGTTCTGGAACTTTGGCGCTATTACGAATTTTTTAGCGGTAAACGCGCACACTTGTGTCTTTGTGGGGTTATTTTTGTTGAGCTGCTACAATCTTTGGCTCCTGGTCGAAGGGTCGGGAGATCTGGCGCAATCACCGACCACAAGAGACTCAACATTTAACATGCCACTTTCAGCAAAGCATTTTAAGGACATATTCTGGTCAGATAAATATTCAGGATATCTTTAACTGTCTGCTGGTTTGTGTACCATAAACAACATAATCTCAGTACAGAGTAATAAAAAACTGACCTCAAAAGTATGTGGAATTACATTATTACCAAGTTTTTTATTATCTCCTGTGTCAAGGGATTTGACACAGGAGATTATAAAAATCGGGACTCACTACTCAAAGTATATTGAGAGAGAAAAACGCCTCGGATTGAAGAATAGCAAAAACAACCATTAAAATAATTGCTCCTTATAATAAAATTTAGGCGCTATTTATAAAAATGAATCTTCATGCGTGAACAGCCACCCTTAGCCCGTAAGAGGCTATACATATAAAAGCCTGCCAGTAACAAGCATTGTGAAGTAACTTGCATTTGTATATAAATATATGTTAGTAGCTCTCACTTAGCAGATGTGAAGTAACTGGTATGCTTACAAGAGGAATGCCATTAACAGACAATCGCCAGCCAATCGAAAAATGACAGCTATAAGGTGTAAATTTTGACCTTAAAACATGATATTACCTCATTCAATTTGTGCGTTGTAAAATCCACATAAGGATTTGTATTTTGCTCCTTCAATGGCTTTCCTTTGCCGCTCAGATTGTCGAATTCCCCTTTTGACATGGACTCTTGTATTAAATCTTCAACCAATCTATCAAAACCGTATTTAGTTTTGATATCATGTTTTTTGCCATATTGTTGTCCTTTAACCATTACGGTTTTATCATCAGTAACAGTTTTGGAAACACGATACTCCATGATGTTGTTAACTGCTTTCTGAGCACGGTGTTGTATCCATTGCTTTTCACGTTGAAATGGTGTACCATGACCTATGCCTTCAAAGCTGAGGTATTGACGGTGTTGTGGCGCTGTGTGCTGAAAATATTGAAAACACAGTCACAAAGTTGTTAAACTAACCCAACTTAAATTAACACATTTGCAATAGTTTTAAAAATTTTGATGAAACTTTTTTGAGGACCGCCTTAATAGAGTTGAGATATGTACGCCACATTTACCTTACCCTAAATTTCACCCACCCATCAAATCATAACATTTGAACTATACATTGGTCTTAATATATTAACATTCAACCTTTCTTTTGATGACCAGACCATCAATGTCCCTATCTTTCATGCCACAATATTCTTCTATTATAGAGTTCTTTATTCCATTTTTAAGATGTACATCAGATATACTGTGCAACATTCAAATTAGTTAAAAAAGTACAAGTTAGTAGTAGAAATACACTAGGGTTGGGAGTAACAAGCCTCAATCAGCAATTCAACACCAATTTTTTGACACTCAGGTTCGTATTTTAGAACTCTACTCAATGTCTAAGTCAGGATTTGAGGATGGTTTAAAGCACTCGAAATCATACTCAGATCCTGACTTGAGCATTGAGTAGAGTTCTGGAATACGACCCTCAGTCTACCTAAAGAGGACTCCAAGAGTTTCATTTACTAGATTTTTAGGGTGCGTACAGATCTGGCAAATGTGCCGCAAATGCGCCAGGTTGCCAAAGGCACGCTGTTCGCAAGCTACATACATTAACATGTATTTAACAGCATTCACCAGATCTGTACACACACTTAGTTAACTTAATAATATCTACATGCTTGTTAGCAACATTAACAGTTATTTTCTAATCCAGCATACTATATTAAACAACAATGGTACTGCAACTTACTCTAATATCATAAACAATTCTCTCCACCTCTTCATTACTTAAATTAGACCCATTGTTATACTTCGACAAGATTCTAAATGCGTTTTCAACGTCCATAAACTTGTCTATATTGGCATCCGGGGAACCAGAATCTGGATGATACTTCTTGGCAAGTTTTATGAAGGCATTGTGGACTGTTTCTTGATTTGAATTAACTGGAATATTTAGTACTTTGTACGATTCCTGAAAAAACAAGTTTTATGAAAAAATTACTATTGTGCTTGTTTACCATTGAGTTTTTCTAATCATATCACACCCTCAGTATTACGAATTTTGTTGACACCACACTTATATGGGTCATTTAGCAGATACCAAATCTGGCAAAAATTTATTTGATATGAAAATAGTTTCGTTTCGTAGTTTTTTTTATTCATTGAGCCAGTCTCTCATTTTACGTTGCATGATTATTAGTTAGGTTGCTATGTGTAATTTACTAAACCATTATTAAACGGCCGGTTCGTAATATTGTTCAATTCAGTGTAATTTTAGGTAAGCTTGGCAGACTTGAAAGAAGCATTTCGATTCCTTACCTCGATTTTCTTTTCAAAAACTTTTGTATTTAGCTTATTATATTGAAGGAAATTCCAGTACACTTTTGCCGGAGACAGTGTTTTGGTGGATATGACTAAATTTATTGTTTTACTCATTGTGGAAATATTGAGCTACATCTTATTGCGATATGTATATTTTATTATATTATGTTTTTGTTTTATGTAACTAACTTGTATAGATACAATGTCAATGTCAAGATAAACCATGTCAAAAAACTACCAATCAGGTGCAATCAGGTGGCAGGCTGTAAATGTCAAATTTATTTTTTTATTTACTGTTTATTTACTTAGTTCACTCACTGTAATAATAATTCATGTTTAGGCTTACGGCTTAGCCAAAGCCTCAATAAATTTAAAAAAATATGTATATATTAAATTAATTTAAAGTTTTAAAAAAATATTTATGTATTATTATCTTAGAGGATGGAAAAGAAATAAAATTATTATCTTAGAAGATGAAAAAAAAATTATATTATTTAAATGTACGGACAACGGCACATCAGACTACACATTTTTGTTTCGAAAATCACCTCCATTGATTGCAACGGAACAAGATACGTCAATGTGTAGCTTGATGTGTTGGCCTGTGTATATATATTTATTTATTTCATGACCATGGATATAAGTCATTCAGTCGAAATATTAGAGATAAATTTATTTATTTATTCAGCATTGGCTACACCTTAAGAGTAGAGCATATAGGACGGAAGGCGCTATTAGCGTTATTTCTCGAACAAAACTTTCTGCCACTTTTTGAGGGGCGGGGGTTAATACTACAAGCAAAGAGGTGTACTCAAATGCAATATTGAGTTGTGTCACCAGTGTCACTATGATCTCACACAAACAAAAATCGACAAACAGATAAAACACACATTCATGTCATGTCCGTACACAGAATAAGCCTATAAAAATAAATCGATTCTCATGATTATATTAAAGACGGAAAGTTATTGACGCGACGGTATCGATATGTATTACGTACTGGTTAATCACGTAACTGGATGTACAGGATTTCTTTTTGCAGTTTTGTGAGAAGTGTAACAGTGGTATTGTTTTATTCGTATTTGCCAGAGGAGATTGCCCATTGACTTACCAATAAATGGATAACAATAAATATAATCCGAAGTCTAATTAAAAAACCGCGAAAAAATGTCCGGAGTTTTTCCGACTTTTCGCGGTCAGCGTTGGAGTCAATAATAAGGATGGCCGGAATTAACCTATACAAACGTAGTGACATGTGTAGAAATATAAAAAAAAAACTAAAACATTTAATTTAAATTGCAGTCATTGCAGTATTGCTTGATTATGTTTGCTACAATTTAAAGGCCCAAAAATTATTCATATTCAGCTTCTACTGGAAATAACAAAATGCACCATATTTAGCTTCTAGTGAAAACTACTTGAACACAAGAGTGATGGAGTAGTCTTATTGTCAATCTTAATTAATTTTATAGTATTATGTTGAATTTTATACGAATTCACTTCAAGTAATAGGAGTTGTGCAGATTTAAAGGTACATACAGATATTATAAATGTGAAAATAGCTGTGTCTCTCTGTTGGTAGTTCTGACGTGTTGTAAGAAATGTATCGATGTTTCGAATTTCTAGATTACAACTAAATGTAAACTCGAAGTGTCATAATCTTGAAAACCGATTTATAGCAAAACCGTTATGGTTTCAGGAGATTTTGGTTGCTTATTACAAAGAAAAGACTAAGTTACTTTGTTTTGTAATATTCCTAAAAGAACCTAAAAATACATTTTGGACTACAAAAATTCGAGCAAACATTATTTCCGGAAAATGTACCTATTTTCGGATTTCTGATTAATAACTCCAAACAGTAAAACGAATACAACAATATTTTGTTAGTTATTTATTACTAAGATTTAATAAAAAGTAATTTAAAAATAAGATTAACATTAAATCAACTCTATACTTTCTTTGTTCTAAATTTAAATATTTCATCGCTTGTGGTTCGAAAATTGAAATTGACGTATCTCTGTCTGTCTTTTGATATAGATACGCATCTTGTGTAGGATAACAATAGTTAGCTATTTGGTTATTTTGAATGCTTTTGTAATTTGTGTATTGTATGTAGTACATACGTACTCGTATATGTACTTTTCATTTTTTTTTTCTTACAGTACGGCATGATTTATGACGATTTATATTAAAACAATTACAATTTATTTTCATTATTTATAATATATTACATTATTATTTAATATATATAACTTCGTTGCAACATCTTTCGATAAAAATCGGAGCTAACTTCTCTGTAACGAAAAAACAACGTTCATGAAGAATTGCATTTTTCTGTCTGTGGTTCTGCCTGTCAGTAATTAAGGAACTTCAAAGGCATGCTTATGTCAAATGTTCGAATGTTTTAAAATATTTTCTATGTAATCGATAAATTTAATCAATGTGAGAAAAAAACGCGGGAAACTTCCGAAACTGGCGGGTGCATTTTTCCTGGTTTTAGTGGTTTTTATTGTTTTTGCGGGATCAGGAGAGTTCTGTTTGTATTTATTGTATATAATCTTTAATTTAGTACCTGTGTAAATATTTGTAGTGTATATATTTTCCGCTTCGGGTAAGTTTTTCATTTTTTAACATGGGCGACGAGCCCCCTGATGACCCTGGAGGAACAGTGCCTTCAGTGGGCCTAAATATTGAAATATCCTCGCTTGAAGCTAGTGCAGTAGATACGGAAGATGGTGCCCGTAGTGACGATGGACGCAAAAATAGGAAACGCATTAAAACTTCCCGTAGACATTCTGAGAAAAAAAGGAAAGATAGTAAGGGTAACTTTGTCGAAAGCTCTCATGATGATATTACAGAATATAATGCGAATATTAAGTATACGGAATTTGTTTCATCTTTATCTCAGGATAAGTTAACAAACGTCACTGTTTCTAACAAACCTTCTACTCAAATTCCTCCCACTCAGCCTCGGTATCAGAATATAAGAAAATATGAGCGCACTGACATCAGTCCTTATGTGATTCACGTAGTGAGAGAGTCTGCTCCCGAAGAACGTGCTTCTTTACATCCAGTGCAATTTGGGAACATTCTTAAAAAAAATTCAGTTCCAAATATAGTGAATGGAAGTTTAAAACGTATTGGACGAAACAGACTTGCTCTAGCATTTACTCATTTCGATGATGCTAACAATTTTATTGATAATCCTTGTTTAGAGACTCATAAATTAAAAGCTTTCATACCAACATTTACTGTAACAAGAATGGGCATTGTACGAGGGGTCCCTGCTAGTTGGTCAGAGGAGGAAATATTGGACAATGTTTCTGTACCTATAGGATGTGGAAAAATAATTAAAGTAAGGCGTATCAGACGTAAAAAAATCGAAAACGGGAATGCTGAATTTACTAATACTGAAACTGTTGTTTTAACTTTTGATGGACAGACTCTACCAAAAAAAGTGTACATGTGCTATACAGCACTAACTGTAGATTTATATACATATCCCACAGTACAGTGTTTTCAATGTTGTAGATTTGGACATACTAAATTATATTGTAGATCTATACCACGTTGTTACAAATGTGGTAATAATCATACGGGTGATACATGCACAGTTGAGGAGGATGGTGCTTCTTGTTGTTTATGCTTAGGTTACCATTTTGCAACTAGTAAGGCCTGCCCAGAGTTTTCTAGGCAAAAACAAATAAAGACTTACATGGCTCAAAATTGTGTATCATACTTTGAAGCCTCAAAATCATATCCACCAGTAACTAAATCTTATGCAGATGTACTCAAACAACAGTCTACACTAATTAATTCACCGACACCTGCAAAGGTTTCTTCTTCAGCCTCTAATAATTCTTACAAAAGAACAGTTTTCTTAAAGCCCCGTTCTCCTCCAAGACAATCTGGTGGTTATGACCAATTTGCTCATGCACAGTATGCTAATGAATATAATATGAACATGGTTTCTTCTCTTTCTAATGGTTCTGCATATAAAACATCTGATAACGATAATGACCAATCTAAATCTGAATTGTCAATTACTGAAATTATTACAGCTCTTATTAACTATTTAAGTAAATCAAATCTTATAACACCTAATATACCGCCCAACGTTGCCCCTACCATCTCGAAATATATTACTACTAACTTGGTTCACAATGGACCACCGATTAATACAATGGAATTGTAGAAGTATCTCGAATAAAAAAACTGATTTAATTTATTTACTCAACAATATTGATCCTTGCATTCTTTGTCTGTCTGAAACATGGTTAAAGCCACAATATTCCTTTAGAGTTTCTGGATTTTCAGTTCTTCGAAAAGACAGATCTGATGGGTATGGTGGAGTCACCATACTTGTTAAAAATTCTCTTTCCTTTCAGTCTTTTCCCTTACCTTCTTTCAGCGATGGCATTGATGCCGTTGCTGCTATTATTAATAATATATGTATTGTATCTTTGTATATACCACATCCAACTTCCTCTCTTCTCTCTGAAATTAACAACTTAATTCCTATTCTTCCTAAACCATTTCTTATTCTAGGTGATTTCAACTGCCAACACCGTTCTTGGGGCAGTTCTTTTTCTACATACTATGGGGACGTATTATTGGATATACTAGACAATCAAAATCTTTGTGTCTTAAATACCGGCTCTCCCACAAGAATGACTGAGCCATCTGAGGGTTTCAGTGTCCCAGACCTTTCAATTTCTACTCCTGGCTTAACATCCACCCTATTGTGGTCAGTCTTCTCTTCTCCATGTGGTAGTGATCATTTTCCTATAATTATTACTTTCCCGTGTACCTCTCATAGTTGCATAAAACGTAGTCCCCGTTTAAAACACAAATTGCCAGATGATTGGAGTATTTTTAAAGATAGAGTAGACAAGAAAATAGCATCTTTACCGAATATACTCACTGATAATGTCTCAGAATGTTCAGAGGCTCTTAGTAATCTCCTGATAGAAGTTGCTGATGAACTTTTCGCGTTAAAAATGCCCCAATCGTCGAGAATCCCTTTTCCACCTTGGTGGGACAGAGAATGTTTGGATGCAATTAAAAAAAGAAAAGCGGCTGAGCGAGTCTACCGTAACGCAATGACCGCAGAAAATTATGAAGTTTACAGCCAAATCGCACGTGAGACCCGTA